ACAACAGAGGATCCGACTAAAACCTATTACGAAAAAGTTGTGAACGACATCAAACGTGCGTCACTGTTACCGCGGATGGAAACCAGTCCGAAAGAACATACGGCTAGTTTCGAACTTGGAAATGAACATTCAGGCACTGCAAAGCACGCTATCGATAAATTGTACCGTATTACTACAAATGTGATTTCGGATCAAAACAACACCACTGGTTTGCAAGAGGGAATACCGTCTGGTCTTTTGTTGCAGTCAATTCTAACGGTGGATAGTTTCAACGTTTTAAGTTTCAGCTGGAATCAAATATTAACTTAATTTCTACCATTTAATGTAAAAGAATTTTTATTTTATTTTGTTTCACGTTCCTTAATTCGTCAGACTATTTATTCCTTTACTTTTACCTCACTGAACCTTTGCTTCTCTTATTTATCTTCATTACAGTGCCTCAATCGTATATTTGCTGATCTACTTGCCTGCCATATCTTCGCTGCATATTATAATTTGCGATGAAGGAACACCTTCTGTGCTTGGAAAGTTTTACTGCAGGCTTGTAACCATTTTCTCTAAACCTATCACGCCTTTTATAAGCTTCAACAGTCCTTTACAATTTGCTAAATAAGCTAAATATCCGTGAGCAATATATATATTTCTTTTTAATGAATGACGCAAATTCAAAAAAAAATCAAACTAAAAACTGATATCTTAAGAACATACAAAAACAAACAAAATCAATTAAATAAATCAACGCACTGGATAACCACAAAAATCTTCACAACAAGAAACGACCAAACTAATTATCAGGTTATGGTTTCTAAATAATGGCCCAACGAACGTGTTGGAGGCACAAACCATTTACAGTAGTTTCTTATCAAAGTCTTCCTGACACCTTCATCTGTAAAACCTGAAATCACGACTTCATTTAAAATTCAGAGAAGTATCCGCATCAGTTTTTAACCCTTAACACGAATTCAAATGCGCAGAAAAACAATACACGCAAAAGTAAACTCAGAGCTGGAACCCAATAACTGCAAAGGTACAGAAAGCAGAAAACCAAAGCAGCAAATCACAGCAGCATGCAATGCCCATTATACAGGCACTGTGCATATTTATCGACAGGTCTGAAGAACAACACCTATACGTCTTCAGAGCCATTTAATCGTACAAGATAACGAAAACAAGTCAAAAATTTTTCTGCGGCCCCAGTTCCACACTAGTGGAGTAAGTTCTCTTGGATGAATTCAACAACATTAAAACATAAGATATACAAAATTCAGGAACCTGTTTTGTCTCAACATTCCCTGGTTTAGAAATTTTACAGATTTGTCTGCAATTGCGCTCTCATGATCTGAAGAAGAAGCGAGTAGAAGCAAGTACTGGGAACTGTTATGTGCAAAATCTTCCTGATCCTCCTCATATGAACTATATATATATGGTCCGACCAAGCTCGGTCCGCGTTCAGCGTATGCGTTGTCTTCCAGTCCGTGACATGTATATACCCCTGAATAATACCTTTGGTATCCTGAATGTCAACGAAGAGAACAGCGGTCACTAAGCTGAATCAAAAGCCAGTTCTGTTAACTGCACCGATGGGGGTTATCTATTACTTTCAAAGAGAAAACAAGTTCAGAACAAAGTGAAATTAATGACTACAGTATCCAAAACAGGCAAAAATGGCGAGGGTAACTGTTTATATAATTTTAAGTATTAAATCATAGAAATCACTGCATGCTCACTGCGTGATGAAAGAAGAAGATACTGCGCCACGCAGTGCAGAAGCATTCGCTGGTACGCAGAAGGAAACTCTGCACACATAACTTTGTGCGGATGGTTTTTAAAATGTTCGATCAGTTGATCTTCAA